TCTTTAATTTCATCCCTTACTTCCTGCAATGTTCTGGGATACATTATTCAGGTCCCGGAGATTTACTCACCTTTATATTCTCTAAGACCTCCCGAACTTTCTCTCCTGTCGTGAATTGTTTTTTAAAAAAATTCAAAGTTTATTTCTTTGACTTCTCTAGACTCCATTTCTTTCTCCACAGTAAAAACTGATACAAAATATTCATTCATTATCTCTCCCATCTCCTGGGGTTCAACACAAAGACGACCTCCTTGGTCTTTAAGAGGCCCTACCCTCTCTCTAGTTACCCTCTTGCTCTTTGGATTATCCTTAACCTTATCGGCCAATGTTATCTAATACCAGACACATATTCCCCTCCCCTCCCCTCCCTTGTCCGCCTTCCACAGGGACCGTTCCCTCCGGGACACCCTGGTCCATACTTCCTTCACCCCCAACACCTCCCCACAGCCCTACGGCACCTTCCCCTGTAACCGGCGAAGGTGCAACACCTGCGCATTTACCTCCTCCCTCCCCAGTATCCAAGGGCCCAAATATACCTTCCAGGTGAAGCAACACTTCACCTGCACTTCCAAGAATCTAGTCTACTGCATTCGCTGCTCACAATGCGGTCTCCTCTACATTGGGGAAACGAAGCGTAGACTTGGCGACTGCTTCGCAGAACATCTACGTTCTCCTCGCAAAAAAGACCCTGAACTACCTGTTGCCTGCCACTTCAATGCACCACCCCGCTCCCTGGCCAACATCTGTGTCTCTGGCTTGCTACAGTGTTCCAGTGAAGCCCAACGCAAGCTGGAGGAACAACACCTCATTTTCCGCTTGGGGACCCTACAGCCCTCTGGACTCAATATTGAGTTCAATAATTTTAGGGCCTAAACTGTCCCATGTCCCAGCCCCCCACCCCACACACCAGGCCTTGTTACCACATAGCCTGCCATTACACACCCCCTGTTGTTAGTCACTAACAGTCTCCATTAACAACTACTCACCCTCCCAGCCTGATTGTTAGCAACTCCTCTGTCTGTCCAACTGTCTTTCTCTCTCTTTGAGCTCTATCCTATCGTTTACTCCCTACCCCACCCACCTCCCTATTTTCTGCATATAAACTGACGTTCTCCCAGCCACCATCAGTTCTGAGGAAGGGTCACCGGACCCGAAACGTTAACTCTGTTTTCTCCTCCACAGATGCTGCCAGACCTGCTGAGCTTTTCCAGCAACTTCTGTTTTTGTTCCTGATTTACAGCATCCACAGTTCTTTTGGTTGTTATCTAATATCTCCTCTTTGCCTTCCTGATTTCTCCTTCACTCTTTATATTAAGAGATTCAATTGAACCAAGTTGTCTATATCTAAAATAAGATTCTATTATTCTTGACTAGAACCTCAATATCTTTATTCATCCATTGTTCCTTAGTCTTCCCACCTTATCCTTTGCTCTCACAGGTGAGCATAATGCCTCTAAACTCTCGTCATCACACTCTTGAACGCGTCCCACTTATCAGACATCCTTTTACCTGCGGACAATCTACTCCAATCAACTTTCAACTCAAAACATCTCTTATGTCTACACCCACACATTTCTGGTATTACTCAGAGCAAACCTACTCATAACTGAATGAAGGTGAAAGAAGCTGAAATTACAAGAAATGCAATTGGGATTTGGATGGCTCAAAAGTTAGAAGGGGGCAAGGCTTTGAATACATTATTAGCATTGTTTAACTGGGCAGAGCTTTGATGGGGATGAAATACAGGCAGCAGAGTTTTGGCTGAGCTGATGTAAATGTGCCACAGAGATGGGAGGCTAGTCAAGAGATTACCACAGTAAATCAAGTCTGGAGAAACCCAAACCATGGATGGGGCTCAGGGAGCGACAGAAGCATCAGAATTCAATTCAACTTTGCACATTAACCCCCATAAATCAGGCAATTTATTTTGCATTATTCAAGCACTTGGCTCTGGTGCAGTAGCTTATCAGACTTCTCAGTGTCAGTACATATATCTGATAACTTGCTGCAGGCAGTGTCTCTGGGACAAATACAACTGCCTAATGTGCCATTATGAAGAGCTATATACCAGAAGGAAGAGAGTAATTGTGGTTGCTCATTGGCAATTACTATAATGACTTAGGACAACGATTGCTAGAGTTGGCAGCATCAAGTTGGCATCACTTATTTGGGGAGTATGATCAGCAGAGCACTGCTTTCGTTAGTTCTTGTATCAGAAAGCTATCGCTTGCTGCCCATGACCAGAATCTCAGAAAGGAAAAATACTGACTTCAGAAATAGAAGGAGCATACAAAAAACAAAACACCTAGCAATTCTAATATCTCTCAGAGATAATATAACAGGGCATACAGCATAAAAGACAATCTTTTTGCAAGAAGGAAATAAACTAGTGCAATGGTACAGGTCCTGGGGCTCGTATGAATCAGAACTTTTTTTGAAGGTGTAACTATTATGTGGAACCATTTATGAAATACATTTGGATTTTCAGAAGGGATTCAATTCCTAGATTAGGGCTTTAGGAATTGAAGGCAATGTTTGCATGGATTGACGATTGGTCAGATGCAAAAATAAGTCCAGAATAAATGGATTGTTTTTAGGATGGCAGGCTGTAACCAGTTACTAAGTGTCGGAACTTAAGTCCAAGCTACTTAAAAATCTGTATCAGTGAATTAATGAGGGGACCAATTATATCAAAGTTTGTTAACCATACAAAGCTAGGTAAGAAAATGAACAGATAACAAGGAGGCTGCACAATGTGAGTTGATTATGTGACTGGGCACAGCACTGGCAAACAGCACATACTGGGACAAGTGCAAAATTATTCACTTTAGTAGAATGGAAAAACAATGGTTTCAACCAAAGGGTCTGGTGTCCTCATAGAAGTAGTTAATATGCAGCTGCAGCAAGAAATTAGGAAGGCAAATGGTATTTACCCCAACCCCCTTACAATAACGGCTAAGAGTAAGGAAGCATTCGATTATACAGCACTTGAGAGATCACAACCGGAATGCTGTGTACTGTTTTGGTGACCATACCCAAGGAAGGATATTGGCCTTAAAAGGGATGCAAGTATTTCACTAGATTAATTCCTGTGATAAAATGGATGATTCCACAAGAAGAAATCCAGTAGAATGGATCCATATTCTCCAGAATTTAGAATCTCATTGACGTATAAATGTTTCATCGGGCTAGAGAGTCTCGATCAAAGTGTTAGTCTCAGGATAAGAGACCAACCATTTGGGATTGAGATGAACAGAAATTTACTCACTTAGGATTGTGAATCTTTGTAATTGTCAACTACAGAGAGTTGCAGATGCCCAGGAGGTGTATTTTCAAAACTGAAATCGGTCAACCCTTGGGCATCAACAAATCACAGGGTCTGTGGATCAGGCAGGAATATGGAGTTAAGGGAGTTGTGTTATGTAGATTGAATGGCACAGCCACATGGTCCTCCCCTGCAGCTTTTTGTTTTGAGAGGTGTAAGACAAAGTGCAGCACTGATAGCTACATGATTTTTGACACCATGTGCCAATAATGTGAATCTGTCACGATCAGATCAAATGCAGCCTTATTCCTAGAGCACATGGATGCTGCTTTAACTAAGACAACTATTTATAAAACAGGGAAAGATTTTCCATCCTTTCTCAGTTGTACTTCCAGCAGACCAGCAGGTAAATCAGAAGTGGAAATTTGCAAATTGGTGAATTGGATGACAAGTCAAATGCATATTGGATTGAGATATGGAGACATTCGTTACTGTTTTGATCGAATGCTGGAGCTTGTGGAGTGTTTGAAGGTTGGAAGAGGTCTGTGCTAACATGCTGAGTACAATTAGTACCTGCTCCCTTGATAACATTAAGAATTTCACCCATCGCTGTGCCTCCAAACAGACAAATGGTGTCTTCTTTCTCTCTGTGACAAATTACCATCCTCACACTTGCCAAATTTGGGGCCTGCAAGTTGTTTCCACCTTCAGTCTGTTACCAAACCCTGGCAAAAGCCTTATTTCCCATATGCAGTATCCCAAGGGATGGAAATATTAGTGGGGTTAGAGGATATCTCCCACTAGGGCAGAAATCTCAGTGTACTGGCAATGTGGTCCATTTGGATAAATGAAGTCAAATTGTAAAAGCAGCGCTGAAAAATTGAAATATACTCCTTAGGACCTGAAGTGATACATTGGAAAGAAATATTTAAACCTTGAAGTTCAATGTTACAGCTTAGACCTTTATTGCTATAAAGTAAAATTAATAAAAATCACCTTTAAGGGAAGAGAGAGAGAGATTGGAAAAGATACAACACTTGCTGTTGAGGAGTGTGTTTGGGATGGAAAGTGTTTATTGGGACAAAATTGCAAGGGATAGAAATAAAACTGGACATCAAAGAAATGATTGGTTTTTCTTGAAATATGTAGTCAGTCAGCCCTCAGCAACAGTACCCTTAACCCAAAGACTCTCCATGTGCACAGGCAGTTATATCTCAGAGATCTGTCTCAGTACAGTACAACTGACCACACTTTTAGGGAGCAAGGCAAGTGCAGTACTGTATCTTCAGCACTGATCACAGCCCCAAGAATTAACATGCGAACCTTGGGAAGACTGCACAGATTGCAGACAAAGAATTCAGGATCTGGCGTAAATTGACCATCTCACAGCCTCATTAGCAGCAAAATGGTCATGGGCCATAGACTGAAAAAAACAACTAGCTTTAGCCCAAGACAACAGGGTGCAGGGCTGGATGAACACAGCAGGCCAAGCAGCATCATAGGAGCAGAGAGGCCCAAACTTACTTTTCAGTTAGCTACCTGGTCAAAATGCCTCCCCAAATTCAATAGCTGTGGCCAATTCAGTAAGCTAGGGAGGCTCAAGAACCAGCAACCAAGACAGGTAGCATGGCCGCTATTTTGACATGGTGTGAGCTTTGGAAAATACAAACAGACAGACACACACTGAAAAACTATAGAACTCAGAATATCTGATTTTCCAGGCAGTGTAGCATGATTGGTATAAAAGATTGTACTGTTTATTAATGATCTCCAAGTGTATATGTACAAGAAACTGCAACACAAACTACAAACATTTCACACAAGATCACCTTACAATGGGAGCAGTCCAGGCTTTACCTACTCAACCTTCTCAGTTACAAACACTACTGGTCAAACACCAAACACATCGAGTATGTGCTAAGAGGCAAGCGGTGTGCGGAGAAGGAAGAAATGCTGCCAAGTCTAACAAGAAATGTGCGAGCTTTCATTTTTGCTTAAAAAAAACTGTTATTCCATTTTTTGAAACTTCTGATAGAAAGATAATCACATGGTAAGATTTTGTACTTCAGCAGCACAGGAATCTGGTGTAGGGAGAAACTAGAAATGTGCTGAAATAATGCACCACTCAGTTCTACTCAGCCTGGTGAGAGAGAAGGAGATGTGGAGAACTGACTCCCTCTGCACACCATGCGGACCAAAAGCATAAAGCTACTCTTTGTAACATATTTACAGTTCTGTTGTATGTCCTGTCGAGAGCCACACCAAACTCACAACACAGTGAGGGTCCACCAGCAGATGGGTTTGATTCGCAAACACCTTTTTCTCCCCTTGGTGAAAACTGTAGAAATTATAGGGATTTTCTTTTTCTCATTGAGAAAACAGTAATTCGAGTCACTCCCAGTTGTCACAGCAGACCACTGAAATGGGACGGACTTTCAGGTCAATGAGTCACATTCAACAAGCACCAAGGACGGCCATGAAAGCCACCCTCTCTAAGATACAAACCTCTCCCACCTGTAGAAGGGGAACACAAACTCTGACTGGAGGACCTCTTCCTCAGCCACCTGCATTGCACTTGCATGCTTACTAACTTCAGGCACTGGAATGGGATCATTCTTCACATCTGACCTACAGCCAGGCCTCTTAACTCCAGCAACTGACCGAGGTCGCTATCATGATGAGTGAATTAGCACACACTCTTGCTCTGTAAATCAACAGAGGTAATGAGCTGTGGCTAATTAGGAGGAACGGATAATCGATTAGTATAAAATTCACAACCCTGTGATACCAAGTTAACAGGACAAAACTGTGGGCCAATGTGAATTTGTTGTTTCAGAATAGTTATCGAGTGCCAAAAAAAGCATAGGAGGAATTTGCTCTGGTCTTTTAGCTCAGATGACATTTCCTTGTTAGTCAAAGTTGTCTAAATTGGGTCAAAATCAAAACCTTTTTGTAGGTTATCATGATTTTAAAAGGGGAGTGGGGACTTAGAAATCAACCTATCACTGTCTGAGCAACGATGGAAGCGCTATAGGGAAGGTGAGTGCGTCTTCTGCTGTGACCACTGGACACACTGCAGCAGTGTTCATGTTCTATAGAACCTATCCATCTCCTGCAAATCTCGGCTTTATTTAGATACCAAACTAAACATCTATACAGTGGCTTTAAAACAGATACTATCCAACATGAGGTTTTAGGACTTTTCTTTCCTCTTCAATTTAGACACTTTCTTGACTGTGCCATTTTTGTTGAGCAGTTTCAGAACTCTGTCCTTATGATCCAGAACCTTCATCATGGTATCTTTGGCCTCAGTGATCTGGTCAATAACCAGTTTGCAGCGTTGCATGTTTCCCTGTGAATACAATCGTGCAAAAGTAGTTTGACACATGTTAAGGAATAAACACCGGAGACAGCAGAGTCACGTCAAAAATAAAACCCAATACGTACAAAATTTAACACCACAAGTAACAATCAGGAGCTACGCTGGTGAAAATTATCAAGTTATCAAAATGATCAAACTCAGTGGTGTGTGTTTGGAATGAAGTGGTGAAAACAGATAAATACATTCCACTGACTTTATTTTAAAAGGAAGAGATTAATATCTGATACATTTCACGTTGTCCAATTTGGGGTGCCTCAGTTTATCCAGTCCAGATGTACGGCCACCCCATTTATAATTTATATTGAACCCCTCTATTCATCCATCCATCTCATTTCTTACTCTAGGCCATCCTATATAGCCAGCTACATGGCACAGCCTACCCATTCCATTTTTCATTCAGAGGACTTATTGATTTAGCTACCCAGCATTTATTTCCCATTCTGAGCTACCCCTTTAAAGGTGATACCTTGAGTGATGGCTTAATTCATCCAAGTGGTTCACCAGCTCAAAGTCACACAGCATGGAAACAGACCCTTCGGTCTAACTAGTCCACACTGACCATGTTTCCAAACTAAACTAGTCCCATCTGTCTGCGCTTGGCCCATATCCCTCCAAACCTTGCCCGTTCACGTACTTATCCAAATGTCTTTTAAACATTGTAACAGTACCTGTGTCTACTACTTTCTCTGGCTGTTCATTCCACACTAAAACCACTCTGCGGTTTGTCCTTTTTAATACTTTCTCCTCTCACCTTAAAAATATGCCCCCTAGTTTTGGAGTCTCCCACCCTAGAGAAAACACTTTTGCTATTCACCTTACCTATGCCCCTCCTGATTTTGTAAACCTCAATAAGGTCACCCCTCAACCTCCCACACTCCAGTGAAAAAAAAGTCCCTCAAACCCTGCTTTCCCAGCAACATCCTGGTAAATCTTTTCTGAACTCCCTCTCAAGTTTAATAACACCCTTTCTATAACAGGGCAACCAGAACTGCACACAGTACTCCAGAAGAGGCCTCACCAACACCCTGGACAACCTCCACATGACATTCCCAGAGGACAGGCAAGAATCAACCAAATCCAGAGGCTGATCAGAAATGTGCAAGTACCACAGGCTTCCTTCCCTAAAGGACATTGATGAATCTGTTGGGGTTATTTTTAGCCGCCAACACAATACAGTAGCTTCTTGATGACTTTTTTATTGACACCAGCTATTTATCGCCAGTTTTATTGTAAAACTGAACTGACACACCCCCTACAGTAATTGCATTCCTGAGTTTCTTACAACAATCCACATATTTTAAAGTTCATAAATAATGATGGAATACAGATATAAACAGTTCTGGTGTTAAGAAATCCCATCTAGATACCCTATTCATGCCTGGACAGCCAGCTACCACTGTAGGATTCTATTCCAACTCATTTCCAACAGGCTTCAAAACTTATGGAACTCTTGCTGCTTTCCCTGCTTCATCTCATTCAGCACTGATGTATAATATTTGTTAACAACACCCACTGAATGATGAGTTTGTTTGTACCTTCTCCATCCCACACTTGTTTTAATTCATTCATGAAATCAGGATGTTGCTGCCTGGGACAGCATTTGTTCCCCATCCCCAATTTCCTGGCAGTAAGCTGCCTTTGTGAATCACTCGAATCCATGTAGTTTAGGTCCAGCCACAATGCTGCTCAGGAAGGGAGTTCCTTTTGTCATTTATATAAATGATTTGGATGAGAATATAGGAAGCATGGTTAGTAAGTTTGCAGAAGACACCAAAATTGGTGGGTTAGTGGACATTGAAGAACGTTATCTAAGATTACAAAGAGACCCCGATAAATTGGGTGAATGGGCTGAGGTGTGGCAGATGGAGTTTACTTTGGATAAATGTGAGGTATTGCATTTTGGTGATACAAACAGGGACAGGACTTGTTAATGGAACGGCCGTGGGTGGTGTTGTAGAACAGAGAGACCTAGGGGTTCACGTACATAATTCTTTTGAAATTTGTGTCA